CCAGAAGTCACCTTATATCCTATATCATTAGGGGGACCAGGAATCACCTTATATTGCACATCAGTTGGGGGACCGGAGGCAAACTTTAGATTGTACATTAGCTAAAGTAAGGGGACCAGAGGTCACCTTATATTGTGCATCAGTAAGGGGACCAGAGGTCAATTTACATTGTACATCAGTAGGGGGAGCAGAGTTCATCTCAAATTGTACATCAGTAGTATTCGGGGATGCAGTTGAATTTCTGGAGGAATCTAGAAAGCAATTTTTTGGCAAAAGATTAATGAGAATAAGGAATCAAAAACATAAGATTTTTTCCATGACAGCGTCCAAACCCGAAAGCCCTGAAGAGTAAGGGAGTCTTGGGGATAAACAAAAGTTAATGTTCATTCACGTTAACAATATTCGCCATATCTTTCGCCTTTTGACTTGTTCCATTTGCCAAACTTGCGAAAACGCCTTTCAGAAGGAAGAAACAAGTCCAGGAAATCATAGGATCTGCAATAATCCAGTATACAAAAGTTCAGACCAGAAAATGAGTTCGAAAAACAATTGAAAATGAATCAGAAATTGGATAAAAATGTTACTTAAATGTTTTTTAACGAAAAGATAATTTTTAGTTAAATCAGTATAACTGAATTATTGAAAAGCGACTTTTGTTTCTTTCCGAGCATCGAAGACATTATTAAACGACCCTTGTATAAGGTGACCTACCGATGTACAATATCTAGTGTGGTTTGAACATATTTTATTGTATAAATACTATACAAATGGTTTGAACACAAGTTCTAACAACTTACTAGGTTCTCACCATACAACTGTCAATATATATACATAGGGAAAATAAGTGAAAAGGAATATTGATGTACAAACAAGTTTGTTAAATTGAAACATACATTTGTTACATAATTATGATAAATATATAATTATATAGATATATAGAGTGTAAGTGTTAGGCAGTAATAGTTAATTAAATCTACCAGAATCTCTTATAAATTTATGAACTGACTGAAAAATATATTTATTGATTTCTACATTTTGTGACTCATCTCCCCACAGAAGTAAATGACAATCAATAATGTTCAATTTGATATTTGGTTTCGTAAGACACAGTAAATCTCTGAATAGCCTTTCTCTAGCATATTGGTACTTATTGCAGACAAAGAAAAAATGATATGGGTCTTCTGGTGTACCACATGAACAGTTAGGACTCTCGATAATGTTTCTTCTATAAAGATCATAATTTAAAATGCAATTGTGTCGTAGTTTAGTATGTATGATATTAAGTCGTCTGTTACCATGGGAGAAATAAGAAGGGGGGTCTGCTGGTTTTTTATGTATGTTATTTTTAAAGCTGCTAAAAGATATGCTGTTTCTAGTGGTGATACTCAGACTATTCCATTGGTTTATTGTATCAGGAACAAAAGATTTCTTGAATATTTCAAGTCTACATCTAGGAATAGTGTAGTCCTCTCTATTGCGTGTATCGTACTTTGATTCATTACGTCTTGTTGCGGGAAAAATACTTTTTAAATAATCGGGTACTAAGTTGTATCTAGTGTCCTCTGGTCCCCCTACTGATGTACAATATGAGGTGACCTCTAGTCTCCCTACTCATGTACAATATGCGGTGACTAGAGTCCCCCTACTGATGTGCAATATAAAGTGGCCTCTGATCCCCTTACTGATTTACAATACAAGGTGACATCTGGTCCCCCTTCTGATGTACAATATGAGGTCACCACTGGAGTTTTATGAAGAGACTTACTTTTACAATCGACTACTGACTTTTACAATTTAAACAATGACTTACTCCATTACTTAAAATGTAAAAGTCAGCTGTCTAATGTAAAAGTAAGTCTCTTCATAAAACTCCATTAGTCCTCCTACTGATGTATAAGGTGTATATAAGGTGACTTCTGGTCCCCTTACTGGTCCCCTACTGATGTACAATATGAGGTGGCCTCTGGTCCACCTACTAGTGTACAATATAAGGTGGCGTCTGGTCCTACTGATTCACAATATAAGGTGACCCCTGATCCCCCTGTTGATGTACAATATAAAGTGTTCTTTGATCTCCTTACTGATGTGCAATATGAGGTGACCTCTGGTCCCCTTCTAATGTTCAATTAAAGATGACCTCTGGTCCCCCTACTGATATACAATACAAAATGGCCTCAGGTCCCCCTACTAATGTACAATATAAGATGTCCTCGAGTCCCCTTTTAATATAGGGTCCCCCTGCCAATGTACAATATAAGATGACTCCTGGTATCCCTGCTGATGATCAATATGAAGTGACCTCTCATCCCCTTACTGATGTACAATATAAGGTGACCTCTACTCCCCCTTCTGGTGTTAAATATAAGTTGACCTCTGGTCCCCCTTTTGATGTACAATATAAAGTGGTCTCTGGTCCCCATACTGATGTACAATATAAAATGACCTCTGGTCCCCCTTCTGATTTTAAATATAAGGTGACCCCTGGTCCCCCTGCTGATTTACAATATAAAGTGGCCTCTGGTCCCTCTGCTGATGTACAATATAAGGTGACCTCTGGTCCCCCTTCTGATGTTAGATATAAGGTGACCTCTGGTCCCCTTCTGTTGTTAGATATTAGGTGACCTCTGGTCCCCCTTACTGATGAACAATATAAAGGAAGCCTCTGGTCCCCCTACCGATGCACAATATAAGGTGACCTCTGGTCCCCTTCTGATGATCAATATGAAGTGACCTCTCCTTCCCTTACTGATGTACAATATAAGATGAACTCTAGTCCCCCTTCTGATGAACAATATAAGGTAGCCTCTGGTCCCCCTACCGATGCACAATAGATGGTGACCTCTGGTCCCCTTCTGATGTTCAATTAAAGGTGACCTCTGGTCCCACTACTGATACACAATAAAAAATGGCCTCTGGTCCCCCTACTGATGTACAATATAAGATGTCCTCTGGTCCCCTTTTAATGTACAATGTAAGGTGACCTCTGGTCCCCCTGCCAATGTACAATATAACGTGACCCCTGGTATCCCTGCTGATGATCAATATGAAAAGACCTCTCATCCCCTTACTGATGTACAATATAAGGTGACCTCTAGTCCCCCTTCTGGAGTTAAATATAAGGTGACCTCTGGTCCCCCTTTTGATGTACAATATAAAGTGGTCTCTGGTCCCCCTACTGATGTACAATATAAGATGACCTCTGGTCCCCATTCCGATTTTAAATATAAGGTGACCTCAGGTCCCCCTTTTGATGTACAATATAAAGTGATCTCTGGTCCCCCTACTGATGTACAATATAAGATGACCTCTGGTCCCCCTTCTGATTTTAAATATAAGGTGACCCCTGGTCCCCCTGCTGATATACAATAAAAAGTGGCCTCTGGTCCCTCTACTGATGTACAATATAAGGCGACCTCTGGTCCCCCTTCTGATGTGAGATATAAGGTGACCTCTGGTCCCCCTTCTGTTGTTAGATATAAGGTGACCTCTGGTCCCCCTTACCGATGAACAAAATAAGGTAGCCTCTGGCCCCCTTACCGATGCACAATATAAGGTGACCTCTGGTCCCCTTTCTGATGTACAATATAAGGTGACCCTTGGTCCCCCTGCTGATGTACAATATAAGCTGACCTCAGGTCATTCTACTGATGTTAAATATAAGGTGACCTCTGGTCCCCTTACTTATGTATAATATAAGGTGACCTCTGGCCCCCCTACTTATGTACAATATAAGCTGACCTCTGGTCCTTCTGCTTATGAACAATATAAAATGACCTCTGGTCCTACTACTGATGTACAATATTAGGTGTCCTCTGATCCCTCTACTGATGTACAGCAAAATATTAGGTGACCACTAGTCTCCGTACTCATGAAAAATATCAGATGACGTCTGGTCCCCGTACTGATGTACAATATAAGGTGTCCTCTAGTCCCCCTACTGATGTACAATATAAGGTGAACCCTGGTACAACTGCTGATGATCAATATAAAGTGACCTCTCATCCCCTTACTGATGTACAATATAAGGTGACCTCTAGTCCCCTTTCTGGTGTTAAATATAAGGTGTCCTCTGGTCTCGCTACAGATGTACATTACAATATAAGGTGACCACTATTCCCCGTACAATATAACATGACGTCTGGTCATCCTTCTGATGTTTAATCTAAGGTGACCTCTGGTCCCCCTACTTATGTACAATATAAAGTGACCTCAGGTTCCCCCTACTCATGTTCAATATTAGGTGAACTCTGTTTCTCCTACTGATGTACAATATAAGGTGACCTCTGGTCCCCCTACTGTTGTACAATATAAGGTGTCCTCCAGTCCCCCTACTGATGTACAATATAAGGTGACCTCTGGTCCCCCTACTGTTGTACAATATAAGGTGTCCTCCAGTCCCCCTACTGATGTACAATATAAGGTGTCCTCTGGTTCCCTTATTGGTGTACAATATAAGGTGACCTCTGGCCCCTCTACTGATGTACAGTACAATATAAGGTGACCACTAGCCCCTTTATTAATGTTAAATATCGGGTGACCTTTGGTCCCCGTAATGATGTACAAAATAAGGTGTCCTCTGGTCCCCCTACTGTTGTACAATAAAAGGTGACCCCTTTTCCCCCACTGATGTACAATATAAGGTGTCCTCTAGTCCCCCTAGAGATGTATAGTATAAGGTGTCCTCTGGTCCCCCTACTACAAGAGAGGACCTCAGGTCCTTCTGCTGATCCAATATAAGATGACATCTGGTCCTACTACTAATGTAAAATATAAGGTGTCTTCTGGTCCCGCTACAGATGTACAGTACAATATTAGGTGACAATAGTTCCCGTAAATGTAAAATATCGGGTGACCTCTGGTCCCCGTATTGATGTACAATATAAGGTGTCCACTGGTCCCCCTACTGATGTATAGTATAAGGTGTCCTCTCCCCCCCCCACCACTGATGCACAATATAAGGTGTCCTCTGGTCCCTCTACTTATGTACAGTAAGAGCACCAAATCCCCGGATGAACACATGGCTTTGTTTGTTATGGAACATTAAACAGAATACTGAATGGGTAGGCGTTACGCCATTGGCTGAAATCAGGTATTTAATTGTTTTCATTTTAAAGTAAAATTAATGACCTTTGAAATAAATGATGGGATGAGGGAATATTACAGAAACTATAGAAATACCAGGGAAGATTTTAGGAGTGGGGGTTGATTTTTTATGTCGCGTGTTATTTACTGCGAATCTCTATAAGTTGAAAATAACTGCAATTTTGACCTATAAACGCAATGGGACCATATATTTTTTTCAGTATTTTTTGTTAGGGCTTAGAACAAAGTTTGAAATGATGCTAAAGATTTTTCTGAAATTGTCATAGTAAAGTACTGAGAGGGCCTAAGGTTTGTATGGAGTTCTATGGGAAAATAATTAGTGGTCTTTTCCCTATAGAGACCCCAATTTTTACACTGTAAAGTGATTTGAAAGTCATGAAATGTTATTTTTAGCTAATTATTTGAAGATTGATGACATTTCGAGAGAAAATTTAGCAAAAATTTGAATTAGTTTACTGCGGTAATGGGGTTAGTGGTGATTTGGGTCTATTGAAGAGAGAGGGGGGGGGGGGGGAGAAGATAGAAATTAGTAAAGCCCTGTACAGTTGACATGGTCAAAGGAGGAAGGTAAGTTAAGAAAATGTATTAGATTGTCCTTAAGATGAATGATTGTATGTATGAATAGATTTATGTATGTATTTTGCATGTACATGTGACTGTGTATTTATCATGTTTTGCTCTATCTGTGTATATTATGGAAGTGTAGGACAGTGACCTGGTGTTCATTTTTTCTTATTTTCTTGGACTTTTGCACTTTTGGCATTTTTTCAAATAATTAAGGTGGCACATAAAAGGAATTTTTGTGATGGACAAGTGAAAGGAGGACATTTTCTGTCTTGTCATCTCATGTTTGGTAGTGTATGTGTTCCTCTGGATTGCCCCCCCCCCCTTTCTTGGCTGCAGGGTGATCAATTTGTAGTTTTGTTGTTTCTATGTTGTAGCTACACAAAGGTCTATGTTTTCTCTTTTTTCGCTCTTTGTAGTTTCATCAGAATTACTCGCTGCGACTCACTTTCTAATGGTTTCTAGTTTTTGTACTTAGAGTTACTTCCCTTAGACCTGCTGACCAGACAGGTAGAATTTCAACATGATGATATCTTAACTGTTGTGACCTTTGGCTTCTGATTTTTTTTCATAAATTATTGTAATGACCTTGAACTGCATGTATGACATTTGACCTTTATTATATTTACATGTAATAATATGTAATATTGAAAAACATGTATTCCACCCTTGGCGGATCCATTTTTCATACATTTAGCTATGTAGAAGACATGTAATTAAGGAAATTTTTAGAAAACTTGAAAAATATTGTTGTTTCTTTCATGATTTATGCTTAATTTGACTAATTTTATTGATTTATTTTCATTTAAGCACTTTAGAGGAATTTCATCTTTCAGCTTTCTTGGCCCCGGGAGTGCTCGGTCTCTGATCAGCAGGGGCATTTTCTCTATATAAGAAGAAAATGGAGACTCCCTACCCACCCGATGTATTTTGTCGGACAGTTTTCTGTACATTGCAGGTAAATTTTTTATTTATTAACTTTCCAGCCTCTTATTGTATAGTACATTTTGGGGGTTGAAGTCAGTTTTTGCTTTTCTTTAATTTTTAAAAAAAAATTATTTAAATTCTCCTTTTCTTAGCATGAAATTCAAAAAGTAGCTTCTGATTGTAATGTATAAGACTACAGATATTGAACTTTGATTTGTTATCAAAAGGATTGATTTACTCTTGTCTAAATTAATTGTAAACAAAAATAAAAGGGGGCACCTGCTATTTCTTTAAGTGTTTTTCACTGGGGGGTGGGGAAACTTTTTTGTACATACTTAAGCAATAGGAGGGATTAGATAAGAATCAATTAGTATATCAGAGTCTTAAATAATTTACTTTGCATAAGCATAAAAAAAATTCTATATCAGTCTTTTTAAAACCTTTGAATTTTGCTTAATTAACTATGATTTATCCAATTTTGGAGCTTTTTACCTAATTCTGGGTAGAATCCACCCTTATGAAATTATTGACTCAATTTTGACTTAATATCACTTTATTAACATTAAAACACAAAAACAATTCATTGTACAAATATTTTATTTATTACAGTCACCAATATATCCAAATATCATCACCGGCCCAGACGTCATTCACTCCTTTGAACTGTGCTGGTAGCAGTAAGGTGTCATCATTTGAGATGGTCACAGTATCCAATACACTGAAGTCACAGGACTCAAATTTCATACATGTTCACAGGTAGGTGTATAGTCTTTGAAATTACCACAATTGACTAATTCTGGGACAGGTAAGTATGTAAGTATAGGAATGAGAGCACCAAATCCCCGGATGAACACATGGCTTTGTTTGTTATGGAACATTAAACAGAATACTGAATGGGTAGGCGTTACGCCATTGGCTGAAATCAGGTTTTAAAGTAAAATTAATGACCTTTGAAATAAATGATGGGATGAGGGAATATTACAGAAACTATAGAAATACCAGGGAAGATTTTAGGAGTGGGGGTTGATTTTTTATGTCGCGTGTTATTTACTGCGAATCTCTATAAGTTGAAAATAACTGCAATTTTGACCTATAAACGCAATGGGACCATATATTTTTTTCAGTATTTTTTGTTAGGGCTTAGAACAAAGTTTGAAATGATGCTAAAGATTTTTCTGAAATTGTCATAGTAAAGTACTGAGAGGGCCTAAGGGTTGTATGGAGTTCTATGGGAAAATATTTAATTGTTTTCATTTTAAAGTAAAATTAATGACCTTTGAAATAAATGATGGGATGAGGGAATATTACAGAAACTATAGAAATACCAGGGAAGATTTTAGGAGTGGGGGTTGATTTTTTATGTCGCGTGTTATTTACTGCGAATCTCTATAAGTTGAAAATAACTGCAATTTTGACCTATAAACGCAATGGGACCATATATTTTTTTCAGTATTTTTTGTTAGGGCTTAGAACAAAGTTTGAAATGATGCTAAAGATTTTTCTGAAATTGTCATAGTAAAGTACTGAGAGGGCCTAAGGTTTGTATGGAGTTCTATGGGAAAATAATTAGTGGTCTTTTCCCTATAGAGACCCCAATTTTTACACTGTAAAGTGATTTGAAAGTCATGAAATGTTATTTTTAGCTAATTATTTGAAGATTGATGACATTTCGAGAGAAAATTTGATGATGAAATGTTATTTTTAGCTAATTATTTGAAGATTGATGACATTTCGAGAGAAAATTTAGCAAAAATTTGAATTAGTTTACTGCGGTAATGGGGTTAGTGGTGATTTGGGTCTATTGAAGAGAGAAGGGGGGGGGGGGGGGGGGGGGAGAAGATAGAAATTAGTAAAGCCCTGTACAGTTGACATGGTCAAAGGAGGAAGGTAAGTTAAGAAAATGTATTAGATTGTCCTTAAGATGAATGATTGTATGTATGAATAGATTTATGTATGTATTTTGCATGTACATGTGACTGTGTATTTATCATGTTTTGCTCTATCTGTGTATATTATGGAAGTGTAGGACAGTGACCTGGTGTTCATTTTTTTTAGTTTCTTGGACTTTTGCACTTTTGGCATTTTTTCAAATAATTAAGGTGGCACATAAAAGGAATTTTTGTGATGGACAAGTGAAAGGAGGACATTTTCTGTCTTGTCATCTCATGTTTGGTAGTGTATGTGTTCCTCTGGATTGCCCCCCCCCCCTTTCTTGGCTGCAGGGTGATCAATTTGTAGTTTTGTTGTTTCTATGTTGTAGCTACACAAAGGTCTATGTTTTCTCTTTTTTCGCTCTTTGTAGTTTCATCAGAATTACTCGCTGCGACTCACTTTCTAATGGTTTCTAGTTTTTGTACTTAGAGTTACTTCCCTTAGACCTGCTGACCAGACAGGTAGAATTTCAACATGATGATATCTTAACTGTTGTGACCTTTGGCTTCTGATTTTTTTTCATAAATTATTGTAATGACCTTGAACTGCATGTATGACATTTGACCTTTATTATATTTACATGTAATAATATGTAATATTGAAAAACATGTATTCCACCCTTGGCGGATCCATTTTTCATACATTTAGCTATGTAGAAGACATGTAATTAAGGAAATTTTTAGAAAACTTGAAAAATATTGTTGTTTCTTTCATGATTTATGCTTAATTTGACTAATTTTATTGATTTATTTTCATTTAAGCACTTTAGAGGAATTTCATCTTTCAGCTTTCTTGGCCCCGGGAGTGCTCGGTCTCTGATCAGCAGGGGCATTTTCTCTATATAAGAAGAAAATGGAGACTCCCTACCCACCCGATGTATTTTGTCGGACAGTTTTCTGTACATTGCAGGTAAATTTTTTATTTATTAACTTTCCAGCCTCTTATTGTATAGTACATTTTGGGGGTTGAAGTCAGTTTTTGCTTTTCTTTAATTTTTAAAAAAAAAATATTTAAATTCTCCTTTTCTTAGCATGAAATTCAAAAAGTAGCTTCTGATTGTAATGTATAAGACTACAGATATTGAACTTTGATTTGTTATCAAAAGGATTGATTTACTCTTGTCTAAATTAATTGTAAACAAAAATAAAAGGGGGCACCTGCTATTTCTTTAAGTGTTTTTCACTGGGGGGTGGGGAAACTTTTTTGTACATACTTAAGCAATAGGAGGGATTAGATAAGAATCAATTAGTATATCAGAGTCTTAAATAATTTACTTTGCATAAGCATAAAAAAAATTCTATATCAGTCTTTTTAAAACCTTTGAATTTTGCTTAATTAACTATGATTTATCCAATTTTGGAGCTTTTTACCTAATTCTGGGTAGAATCCACCCTTATGAAATTATTGACTCAATTTTGACTTAATATCACTTTATTAACATTAAAACACAAAAACAATTCATTGTACAAATATTTTATTTATTACAGTCACCAATATATCCAAATATCATCACCGGCCCAGACGTCATTCACTCCTTTGAACTGTGCTGGTAGCAGTAAGGTGTCATCATTTGAGATGGTCACAGTATCCAATACACTGAAGTCACAGGACTCAAATTTCATACATGTTCACAGGTAGGTGTATAGTCTTTGAAATTACCACAATTGACTAATTCTGGGACAGGTAAGTATGTAAGTATAGGAATGAGAGCACCAAATCCCCGGATGAACACATGGCTTTGTTTGTTATGGAACATTAAACAGAATACTGAATGGAACATTAAACAGAATACTGAATGGGTAGGCGTTACGCCATTGGCTGAAATCAGGTATTTAATTGTTTTCATTTTAAAGTAAAATTAATGACCTTTGAAATAAATGATGGGATGAGGGAATATTACAGAAACTATAGAAATACCAGGGAAGATTTTAGGAGTGGGGGTTGATTTTTTATGTCGCGTGTTATTTACTGCGAATCTCTATAAGTTGAAAATAACTGCAATTTTGACCTATAAACGCAATGGGACCATATATTTTTTTCAGTATTTTTTGTTAGGGCTTAGAACAAAGTTTGAAATGATGCTAAAGATTTTTCTGAAATTGTCATAGTAAAGTACTGAGAGGGCCTAAGGTTTGTATGGAGTTCTATGGGAAAATAATTAGTGGTCTTTTCCCTATAGAGACCCCAATTTTTACACTGTAAAGTGATTTGAAAGTCATGAAATGTTATTTTTAGCTAATTATTTGAAGATTGATGACATTTCGAAAGAAAATTTAGCAAAAATTTGAATTAGTTTACTGCGGTAATGGGGTTAGTGGCGATTTAGGTCTATTGAAGAGAGGGGGGGGGGGGGGGGGGGGGGGGAGAAGATAGAAATTAGTAAAGCCCTGTACAGTTGACATGGTCAAAGGAGGAAGGTAAGTTAAGAAAATGTATTAGATTGTCCTTAAGATGAATGATTGTATGTATGAATAGATTTATGTATGTATTTTGCATGTACATGTGACTGTGTATTTATCATGTTTTGCTCTATCTGTGTATATTATGGAAGTGTAGGACAGTGACCTGGTGTTCATTTTTTTTAGTTTCTTAGACTTTTGCACTTTTGGCATTTTTTCAAATAATTAAGGTGGCACATAAAAGGAATTTTTGTGATGGACAAGTGAAAGGAGGACATTTTCTGTCTTGTCATCTCATGTTTGGTAGTGTATGTGTTCCTCTGGATTGCCCCCCCCCCCTTTCTTGGCTGCAGTGCCCCCCCTCCCCCCTTTCTTGGCTGCAGGGTGATCAGTTTGTAGTTTTGTTGTTTCTATGTTGTAGCTACACAAAGGTCTATGTTTTCTCTTTTTTCGCTCTTTGTAGTTTCATCAGAATTACTCGCTGCGACTCACTTTCTAATGGTTTCTAGTTTTTGTACTTAGAGTTACTTCCCTTAGACCTGCTGACCAGACAGGTAGAATTTCAACATGATGATATCTTAACTGTTGTGACCTTTGGCTTCTGATTTTTTTTCATAAATTATTGTAATGACCTTGAACTGCATGTATGACATTTGACCTTTATTATATTTACATGTAATAATATGTAATATTGAAAAACATGTATTCCACCCTTGGCGGATCCATTTTTCATACATTTAGCTATGTAGAAGACATGTAATTAAGGAAATTTTTAGAAAACTTGAAAAATATTGTTGTTTCTTTCATGATTTATGCTTAATTTGACTAATTTTATTGATTTATTTTCATTTAAGCACTTTAGAGGAATTTCATCTTTCAGCTTTCTTGGCCCCGGGAGTGCTCGGTCTCTGATCAGCAGGGGCATTTTCTCTATATAAGAAGAAAATGGAGACTCCCTACCCACCCGATGTATTTTGTCGGACAGTTTTCTGTACATTGCAGGTAAATTTTTTATTTATTAACTTTCCAGCCTCTTATTGTATAGTACATTTTGGGGGTTGAAGTCAGTTTTTGCTTTTCTTTAATTTTTAAAAAAAAATATTTAAATTCTCCTTTTCTTAGCATGAAATTCAAAAAGTAGCTTCTGATTGTAATGTATAAGACTACAGATATTGAACTTTGATTTGTTATCAAAAGGATTGATTTACTCTTGTCTAAATTAATTGTAAACAAAAATAAAAGGGGGCACCTGCTATTTCTTTAAGTGTTTTTCACTGGGGGGTGGGGAAACTTTTTTGTACATACTTAAGCAATAGGAGGGATTAGATAAGAATCAATTAGTATATCAGAGTCTTAAATAATTTACTTTGCATAAGCATAAAAAAAATTATATATCAGTCTTTTTAAAACCTTTGAATTTTGCTTAATTAACTATGATTTATCCAATTTTGGAGCTTTTTACCTAATTCTGGGTAGAATCCACCCTTATGAAATTATTGACTCAATTTTGACTTAATATCACTTTATTAACATTAAAACACAAAAACAATTCATTGTACAAATATTTTATTTATTACAGTCACCAATATATCCAAATATCATCACCGGCCCAGACGTCATTCACTCCTTTGAACTGTGCTGGTAGCAGTAAGGTGTCATCATTTGAGATGGTCACAGTATCCAATACACTGAAGTCACAGGACTCAAATTTCATACATGTTCACAGGTAGGTGTATAGTCTTTGAAATTACCACAATTGACTAATTCTGGGACAGGTAAGTATGTAAGTATAGGAATGAGAGCACCAAATCCCCGGATGAACACATGGCTTTGTTTGTTATGGAACATTAAACAGAATACTGAATGGGTAGGCGTTACGCCATTGGCTGAAATCAGACAAAATTAATGACCTTTGAAATAAATGTATTTAATTGTTTTCATTTTAAAGTAAAATTAATGACCTTTGAAATAAATGATGGGATGAGGGAATATTACAGAAACTATAGAAATACCAGGGAAGATTTTAGGAGTGGGGGTTGATTTTTTATGTCGCGTGTTATTTACTGCGAATCTCTATAAGTTGAAAATAACTGCAATTTTGACCTATAAACGCAATGGGACCATATATTTTTTTCAGTATTTTTTGTTAGGGCTTAGAACAAAGTTTGAAATGATGCTAAAGATTTTTCTGAAATTGTCATAGTAAAGTACTGAGAGGGCCTAAGGTTTGTATGGAGTTCTATGGGAAAATAATTAGTGGTCTTTTCCCTATAGAGACCCCAATTTTTACACTGTAAAGTGATTTGAAAGTCATGAAATGTTATTTTTAGCTAATTATTTGAAGATTGATGACATTTCGAGAGAAAATTTAGCAAAAATTTGAATTAGTTTACTGCGGTAATGGGGTTAGTGGTGATTTGGGTCTATTGAAGAGAGAAGGGGGGGGGGGGGGGGGGGGGTAAGAGAAGATAGAATTTAGTAAAGCCCTGTACAGTTGACATGGTCAAAGGAGGAAGGTAAGTTAAGAAAATGTATTAGATTGTCCTTAAAATGAATGATTGTATGTATGAATAGATTTATGTATGTATTTTGCATGTACATGTGACTGTGTATTTATTATGTTTTGCTCTATCTGTGTATATTATGGAAGTGTAGGACAGTGACCTGGTGTTCATTTTTTTTAGTTTCTTAGACTTTTGCACTTTTGGCATTTTTTCAAATAATTAAGGTGGCACATAAAAGGAATTTTTGTGATGGACAAGTGAAAGGAGGACATTTTCTGTCTTGTCATCTCATGTTTGGTAGTGTATGTGTTCCTCTGGATTGCCCCCCCCCTCCCGTTCTTGGCTGCAGGGTGATCAATTTGTAGTTTTGTTGTTTCTATGTTGTAGCTACACAAAGGTCTATGTTTTCTCTTTTTTCGCTCTTTGTAGTTTCATCAGAATTACTCGCTGCGACTCACTTTCTAATGGTTTCTAGTTTTTGTACTTAGAGTTACTTCCCTTAGACCTGCTGACCAGACAGGTAGAATTTCAACATGATGATATCTTAACTGTTGTGACCTTTGGCTTCTGATTTTTTTTCATAAATTATTGTAATGACCTTGAACTGCATGTATGACATTTGACCTTTATTATATTTACATGTAATAATATGTAATATTGAAAAACATGTATTCCACCCTTGGCGGATCCATTTTTCATACATTTAGCTATGTAGAAGACATGTAATTAAGGAAATTTTTAGAAAACTTGAAAAATATTGTTGTTTCTTTCATGATTTATGCTTAATTTGACTAATTTTATTGATTTATTTTCATTTAAGCACTTTAGAGGAATTTCATCTTTCAGCTTTCTTGGCCCCGGGAGTGCTCGGTCTCTGATCAGCAGGGGCATTTTCTCTATATAAGAAGAAAATGAAGACTCCCTACCCACCCGATGTATTTTGTCGGACAGTTTTCTGTACATTGCAGGTAAATTTTTTATTTATTAACTTTCCAGCCTCTTGTTGTATAGTACATTTTGGGGGTTGAAGTCAGTTTTTGCTTTTCTTTAATTTTTAAAAAAAAATTATTTAAATTCTCCTTTTCTTAGCATGAAATTCAAAAAGTAGCTTCTGATTGTAATGTATAAGACTACAGATATTGAACTTTGATTTGTTATCAAAAGGATTGATTTACTCTTGTCTAAATTAATTGTAAACAAAAATAAAAGGGGGCACCTGCTATTTCTTTAAGTGTTTTTCACTGGGGGGTGGGGAAACTTTTTTGTACATACTTAAGCAATAGGAGGGATTAGATAAGAATCAATTAGTATATCAGAGTCTTAAATAATTTACTTTGCATAAGCATAAAAAAAATTCTATATCAGTCTTTTTAAAACCTTTGAATTTTGCTTAATTAACTATGATTTATCCAATTTTGGAGCTTTTTACCTAATTCTGGGTAGAATCCACCCTTATGAAATTATTGACTCAATTTTGACTTAATATCACTTTATTAACATTAAAACACAAAAACAATTCATTGTACAAATATTTTATTTATTACAGTCACCAATATATCCAAATATCATCACCGGCCCAGACGTCATTCACTCCTTTGAACTGTGCTGGTAGCAGTAAGGTGTCATCATTTGAGATGGTCACAGTATCCAATACACTGAAGTCACAGGACTCAAATTTCATACATGTTCACAGGTAGGTGTATAGTCTTTGAAATTACCACAATTGACTAATTCTGGGACAGGTAAGTATGTAAGTATAGGAATGAGAGCACCAAATCCCCGGATGAACACATGGCTTTGTTTGTTATGGAACATTAAACAGAATACTGAATGGGTAGGCGTTACGCCATTGGCTGAAATCAGGTATTTAATTGTTTTCATTTTAAAGTAAAATTAATGACCTTTGAAATAAATGATGGGATGAGGGAATATTACAGAAACTGAGGGAATATTACAGAAACTATAGAAATACCAGGGAAGATTTTAGGAGTGGGGGTTGATTTTTTATGTCGCGTGTTATTTACTGCGAATCTCTATAAGTTGAAAATAACTGCAATTTTGACCTATAAACGCAATGGGACCATATATTTTTTTCAGTATTTTTTGTTAGGGCTTAGAACAAAGTTTGAAATGATGCTAAAGATTTTTCTGAAATTGTCATAGTAAAGTACTGAGAGGGCCTAAGGTTTGTATGGAGTTCTATGGGAAAATAATTAGTGGTCTTTTCCCTATAGAGACCCCAATTTTTACACTGTAAAGTGATTTGAAAGTCATGAAATGTTATTTTTAGCTAATTATTTGAAGATTGATGACATTTCGAGAGAAAATTTAGCAAAAATTTGAATTAGTTTACTGCGGTAATGGGGTTAGTGGTGATTTGGGTCTATTGAAGAGAGAAGGGGGGGGGGGGGGGGGTAAGAGAAGATAGAATTTATTAAAGCCCTGTACAGTTGGCATGGTCAAAGGAGGAAGGTAAGTTAAGAAAATGTATTAGATTGTCCTTAAAATGAATGATTGTATGTATGAATAGATTTATGTATGTATTTTGCATGTACATGTGACTGTGTATTTATTATGTTTTGCTCTATCTGTGTATATTATGGAAGTGTAGGACAGTGACCTGGTGTTCATTTTTTTTAGTTTCTTGGACTTTTGCACTTTTGGCATTTTTTCAAATAATTAAGGTGGCACATAAAAGGAATTTTTGTGATGGACAAGTGAAAGGAGGACATTTTCTGTCTTGTCATCTCATGTTTGGTAGTGTATGTGTTCCTCTGGATTGCCCCCCCCCCCCTTTCTTGGCTGCAGGGTGATCAATTTGTAGTTTTGTTGTTTCTATGTTGTAGCTACACAAAGGTCTATGTTTTCTCTTTTTTCGCTCTTTGTAGTTTCATCAGAATTACTCGCTGCGACTCACTTTCTAATGGTTTCTAGTTTTTGTACTTAGAGTTACTTCCCTTAGACCTGCTGACCAGACAGGTAGAATTTCAACATGATGATATCTTAACTGTTGTGACCTTTGGCTTCTGATTTTTTTTCATAAATTATTGTAATGACCTTGAACTGCATGTATGACATTTGACCTTTATTATATTTACATGTAATAATATGTAATATTGAAAAACATGTATTCCACCCTTGGCGGATCCATTTTTCATACATTTAGCTATGTAGAAGACATGTAATTAAGGAAATTTTTAGAAAACTTGAAAAATATTGTTGTTTCTTTCATGATTTATGCTTAATTTGACTAATTTTATTGATTTATTTTCATTTAAGCACTTTAGAGGAATTTCATCTTTCAGCTTTCTTGGCCCCGGGAGTGCTCGGTCTCTGATCAGCAGGGGCATTTTCTCTATATAAGAAGAAAATGGAGACTCCCTACCCACCCGATGTATTTTGTCGGACAGTTTTCTGTACATTGCAGGTAAATTTTTATTTATTAACTTTCCAGCCTCTTATTGTATAGTACATTTTGGGGGTTGAAGTCAGTTTTTGCTTTTCTTTAATTTTAAAAAAAAATTATTTAAATTCTCCTTTTCTTAGCATGAAATTCAAAAAGTAGCTTCTGATTGTAATGTATAAGACTACAGATATTGAACTTTGATTTGTTATCAAAAGGATTGATTTACTCTTGTCTAAATTAATTGTAAACAAAAATAAAAGGGGGCACCTGCTATTTCTTTAAGTGTTTTTCACTGGGGGGTGGGGAAACTTTTTTGTACATACTTAAGCAATAGGAGGGATTAGATAAGAATCAATTAGTATATCAGAGTCTTAAATAATTTACTTTGCATAAGCATAAAAAAAATTCTATATCAGTCTTTTTAAAACCTTTGAATTTTGCTTAATTAACTATGATTTATCCAATTTTGGAGCTTTTTACCTAATTCTGGGTAGAATCCACCCTTATGAAATTATTGACTCAATTTTGACTCAATTTTGACTTAATATCACTTTATTAACATTAAAACACAAAAACAATTCATTGTACAAATATTTTATTTATTACAGTCACCAAGATATCCAAATATCATCACCGGCCCAGACGTCATTCACTCCTTTGAACTGTGCTGGTAGCAGTAAGGTGTCATCATTTGAGATGGTCACAGTATCCAATACACTGAAGTCACAGGACTCAAATTTCATACATGTTCACAGGTAGGTGTATAGTCTTTGAAATTACCCCAATTGACTAATTCTGGGACAGGTAAGTATGTAAGTATAGGAATGAGAGCACCAAATCCCCGGATGAACACATGGCTTTGTTTGTTATGGAACATTAAACAGAATACTGAATGGGTAGGCGTTACGCCATTGGCTGAAATCAGGTATTTAATTGTTTTCATTTTAAAGTAAAATTAATGACCTTTGAAATAAATGATGGGATGAGGGAATATTACAGAAACTATAGAAATACCAGGGAAGATTTTAGGAGTGGGGGTTGATTTTTGATGTCGCGTGTTATTTACTGCGAATCTTTATAAGTTGAAAATAACTGCAATTTTGACCTATAAACGCAATGGGACCATATATTTTTTTCAGTATTTTTTGTTAGGGCTTAGAACAAAGTTTGAAATGATGCTAAAGATTTTTCTGAAATTGTCATAGTAAAGTACTGAGAGGGCCTAAGGTTTGTATGGAGTTCTATGGGAAAATAATTAGTGGTCTTTTCCCTATAGAGACCCCAATTTTTACACTGTAAAGTGATTTGAAAGTCATGAAATGTTATTTTTAGCTAATTATTTGAAGATTGATGACATTTCGAGAGAAAATTTAGCAAAAATTTGAATTAGTTTACTGCGGTAATGGGGTTAGTGGTGATTTGGGTCTATTGAAGAGAGAAGGGGGGGGGGGGGTAAGAGAAGATAGAAATTAGTAAAGCCCTGTACAGTTGACATGGTCAAAGGAGGAAGGTAAGTTAAGAAAATGTATTAGATTGTCCTTAAGATGAATGATTGTATGTATGAATAGATTTATGTATGTATTTTGCATGTACATGTGACTGTGTATTTATCATGTTTTGCTCTATCTGTGTATATTATGGAAGTGTAGGACAGTGACCTGGTGTTCATTTTTTTTAGTTTCTTAGACTTTTGCACTTTTGGCATTTTTTCAAATAATTAAGGTGGCACATAAAAGGAATTTTTGTGATGGACAAGTGAAAGGAGGACATTTTCTGTCTTGTCATCTCATGTTTGGTAGTGTATGTGTTCCTCTGGATTGCCCCCCCCCCCCCCTTTCTTGGCTGCAGGGTGATCAATTTGTAGTTTTGTTGTTTCTATGTTGTAGCTACACAAAGGTCTATGTTTTCTCTTTTTTCGCTCTTTGTAGTTTCATCAGAATTACTCGCTGCGACTCACTTTCTAATGGTTTCTAGTTTTTGTACTTAGAGTTACTTCCCTTAGACCTGCTGACCAGACAGGTAGAATTTCAACATGATGAATCTTAACTGTTGTGACCTTTGGCTTCTGATTTTTTTTCATAAATTATTGTAATGACCTTGAACTGCATGTATGACATTTGACCTTTATTATATTTACATGTAATAATATGTAATATTGAAAAACATGTATTCCACCCTTGGCGGATCCATTTTTCATACATTTAGCTATGTAGAAGACATGTAATTAAGGAAATTTTTAGAAAACTTGAAAAATATTGTTGTTTCTTTCATGATTTATGCTTAATTTGACTAATTTTATTGATTTATTTTCATTTAAGCACTTTAGAGGAATTTCATCTTTCAGCTTTCTTGGCCCCGGGAGTGCTCGGTCTCTGATCAGCAGGGGCATTTTCTCTATATAAGAAGAAAATGGAGACTCCCTACCCACCCGATGTATTTTGTCGGACAGTTTTCTGTACATTGCAGGTAAATTTTTTATTTATTAACTTTCCAGCCTCTTATTGTATAGTACATTTTGGGGGTTGAAGTCAGTTTTTGC